ATTTTTTGTATCTAAATGTTTCATCAAATGACAAGTTAGTTAATGTAGGTGTGGCTTTATATAGTCCTTTATTAAGGCGATAATGCACATTTCTCATGAGCATAAAACATTTGGTCACCTTTAATTCATTTTTTGTTTTACCAACAAGTACACCTTTGAACTATAGGCGAGGCTTTTATGACTGAAATAATGTTTATAAGGCAATAATTCCAGATTCAAGAATCCTGTATTAATTAAATGGTTAAGTTGATCAACAAAGTACTCTGAATTCAGATTTCATAGTACCTTCAAACAAATCATATGATAAACATAATAAGAAATCGAACTCAGTTGTGTTTATCGTTCTCGTTTGTCCTTTTCTTTATATCTTTTTATGGTTGTGTGTTGTGGTTTGTGTTGCTGAATAGTAGTCACATGCATGTACATACGTAGCAGTTAGCCACGCCTAAAAGTATAAATCATCATGACACCAGCTAGCTGACAATGAAATGGGATTTAAACTTTTTGCAAGTCAGTTTTCTCAATTCATGAGCCACAACATCTCGTACCATCGAGTTATTTAAAGCTCATTGTCCTTTTTAATATATTATTATTGTTCCCTTGGGTTCCTAGTGGAACATAGGGCTTCAACTCCACGTCTCCACTTCCTTCTGCCCTCTGTTGTACTTTTCACCTGCATCCATCTTAGTCCATACTCTTTCAACTCCTCTTCACACGATCTCCTCAATGTCACCCTTGCACTGACGTCCCACTCGCCTCTTCCCTTTCGGCCTGGTTCCACTCGAGCAATGGCCTGACGCACGCGCGATGTCACCCAGCGGCCTCCTCAGCTAGTGTCCAATCCATCTCCACTTTCTCCTACATATTTGTTGGGCGATTGGTTCTTGTTTTGCTTGTTTGTTCTCATAGTTTCTTGTTGGTGATTCTTTCCGACCCAACCCGACCATCTGATCTTCAGTGCAGAGCAAAGACAGTTGTTGGTTGATAAAGGTCTGCAACAGGCTGTTGGAAATATTCTTTGTGACCTGCCCGCCAAGTTTCTGATCGGTATAGAAGAACTGACTGACTTGACGTTTGTATTGAAAATCCGACCGAATTTTGTTGTTAATGCTGAGTTGAGTGACGAAGATTTCCAGATTGGTTTCAGGTTGATGAATGTGTTTCCCGCTCGCCTTCCCGGTTCTCGCTCAACTTGACATCCTCGTCCGTTCCGGCTCCTTGTAGTTGAGACAATGCTCCTTAGATAAGTGAATGAAGTACTCTCTTTCAAATCCCTCCCTTTGATGGTGATTGGCGCCGGATGTTGCTGTTGCTGTTGTTGTTGTTGTTGTTGTTTGGTTGGTTGGTTATCTTCATAACCTTCACCTGGAGTCCTGTCTTCGCCGACTGCTTCTTGGACCAGTTTGTTGGTTTTCGCTTGTAAGTCTTCGATTTTGTAGATAAATACATTTCACCATTATAATTCTTAGATTCTTAAGTAATCTAAAGCCAAGTCATACTTCTGCCTTTTAGAAAGTTTTTACCTAGTGTATACACATGTATATGCATAAACGACTTTATGTGACTCATTGTTAGACATACTTAGCATTCAAAGAGTGCTGAAATGAAATTCACTACAACCTATCGATTTTTGGACAATTAAGTAGTATCACTTACCCTTTTATAATATGTATAACTCACCGTTTAGCGCCTAAGGTTACTAAGGAAAAATTATGATAATTACTGGGATATATATGCTTCACTAATATAGGTTTTAGTATGTAAACACTCAGTTACAAATTCATGCTAAGACTAATTCCGTATTAATCCATGTATTGGATGTATCACACGGTAAAGTAGCATCATTTACTTGATTATTCACTGTGTGATATACCTATAATAAACAAATTAAAGTGGAATTACATACTAAAACAGTACCCAGGTTTTATACATACACAAAGACTAAGTTGGTGTGGGGGTAACAAAATTGGGAAAAACAGTCAGGTTTCAGGCGTGGATCAGTGTGCATTGACCAATTCTTCATCCTTCAACAAGTTATGAGACACAGTCACACTGGCATTCACAATGTGCTACAACCTAAAGGCTAAATTTGATTCAGTCGATTTGTGTTGTGACATTGTCTGGCTATAAAGATTGTTGAAGGAGTAAACTGTGATAATTAAAGGACTCTGCTCTAATCTATGTAGTCTTGTAAGAGCTTATAAAGATTTGTCGTTTGAAGTGACTCCAACCATTGTTTTCTGTCAGATATGCCAGTTAACATTATTTAAATTCATCATAGATGTACTGATGAATAGGATTCTGATCGACTACGTCGTCTTTAATTGATTTGCATTATGGCAAAGGTTTCGTTAGTCTGCACATCCTTTAAGTGGAGACACCAGTAGAATGATGCGATCTCAAAAGCACTCTGAGTAAATATCTGAGTATGTTGCGTGTATGTGTGATTGCCTTCTGTCAAATGTAAGGTGATGCTACAGGACCTTCTGTTTTAAACATAAATATAGTGTTACATGGACACCAAAAAAATGCTTCCGACGAAATAATAAAATAAAACTGCGGAAAAGAGAAAGAAAACAGCTGACGGACACAGACTAACAGAAGATATGCTTGTTTGCTAAGAACATTCAAAAGATCGTTTTTTTTTTACTTCTTATTACTGTCGAAAAGAGGGAGAAAGAAATGATACCATTGATCTGGATTCTGACACCAGTCTGATGACATTTCGAGCAAGTGAGTCATATAATCTCTTGAACCCTATACAGTGAAAATCATGAAGCCACAACAAATTTTAACCCAACTCCTGTCCTTAGTTGCGAGGCATCACAGTATGGATCGACTACTCTCGACCAGTCTAAAGTGGTATGGAAGCTTCTGGGATGACACTTGTGGCATATATCCAAGTCATCGATACTGGTTTCCCAGTATGACATCACCTATTGAAAGATACTCTCCATCAGTGGGAACACCAGCATTCACTAAGCTGCAGGCGAATTCCAGATAACGAGTCCCGAGAAGACTGGGACGAACGTGCTGAATTCCACTCGGAGCCACCACTAGTTAAGTGCTTACTTCCACTATCATTAAACAAATGCCATCAGACCTGAGGAACTCTTACACGTTTACACCGTGGAATGCAAGTAGTACTGTGGAGATAGAGATGGTTTAACATTGAAAAAAAATAAATAAAAAATGAGTTGCACCACACCCACTTTTCGAAAAGGTCAGGATTTGTCTGTCTGTCTGTTTTCGACATAGAACTTTGCACCGATGTGCAGCAGTTCGAGTCGCCACACTCCATGTATCACACATATCAAGAGAAGAAAGTACAAGAAAAGCATAATAGAGACAGTAAACAGAGGTGTGAGACAAAGGGAGATTAATAACGAAGAACAATATAGTTTGATTGGAAATTATAAGTCACAAGGTGTGGATGCATGTGTGCCAGCCATTGAGAACGATTTTGAGCCATATCACCAATTGTTTCCAACCATTGGTTTTTACCGTCCCGAGGACAGGATTTACAGATTTAAGGCTAACCTGAACCATTGTGAACCCACCTCTGATGGGTAGGTTATCGACAAGGTGATGCTAGTGGTGACCCAGGTGAACGTAAGCTCTCCTGGATCTCCGTATTATCAAAATTTTCCCCTCTTACACCCCCAGCGTTCATACAACTACTTACATACATGATCTTTTCGACTTATTTCAAAGGTTTGTACGCATGCTTGTGATAGTCTTACAGCATGGCTTTGCATTTGGACGGTGCAACTTACAGATTATGCTTCTCAACATGAATACCAACAGACAAAGTGCTTTTTAGGTTGGTATGGCGGTAGTAAACGACAAGAAAATATTGTCTGCACACTCCACGTCTTTCTCTAGTTAGTACACCTACACTATCATGGCGCACATTTTTGGGGATGTCATCGAAACAGAGCTGTTTTCTGGAGTATTTAGAATGTTGGTACAATTCTCAGGGATATCACAATGTAGCAGATTGCTCAAGATAACATTCCTTTCACCCGTTACACTTTCTCCGGCTTTCATACATATATTCATATAAATGATCTAACTGACTTGTTGCTACAGTTCACTTATGAATTTTTCATAGGCTTATTGTATCTTGTAGATAACCTTGCATTTCTATGGTACAATTCCGGACATCGACTGCCAAATATCTGATGATAGTAGGTGGGGATTTTAAATAAGTTGTCCATGCAAAGTTAATGGCGACAATCCCTATTTTTAGCCTTACAACCATTTAATTCACATCGCATTTGGGTTTCAATGTATACTATCATTTCACTAAATCATTCACAGTGGCACAGGTGTATTCACTTCGTATCATACTGTAGCTTATGAAAATCTTGGCTAGCCATTCGTTTTATGTGAAGTTATTTCGGTTGATAGCGACTGAGAATGGAATCCCTTATCCTATTTAGTACTTATCAAATTGATGTAGCTACATTCCTAGTGGAGTCATGGTGTTCACACTGAAATTCGAATCTTGAGCCTATCGTTTCAAAGGCCAAAGCATAATCCTTGAGGGCCACGAAGTTTTGCCAATTTGAACTGATGATAAACCCATTGTACAAAGTCATTTGCTACTATGTCAGCCAATCAGAATAAAAATGCGCTTTGTTAGATTGATGAAATGTTCCTCATGTAATACTTCAGTTTGTGACTTTATTTTCAATTTATTTCAAATTTTCTCAAACATCTTCAGTTACAAACGCTTAGTCAATAAAAAGAGGTATGGACTTCAGTCTATCACCTGTGTTTAATTCCCTGAGTTTTCAACACCATAGATCAATTTTTTCTGCATGTATATGCTTTGTCTTGCTTTTCTGTGTCTCTAATGCTCATTCACTTTCATTTATAAGCGTATTTTTAGGTAAATAAAAGTGGCTTCAGACTAATTCTTCTAATGCTGGCAGTAACAATAGTCTAAATTTTCAGTAATAGATCTTTTTTGTTTGTTTTCGCTTTTTTTCTAGCTCCAATGATATATCTGCGTTAAAGTCAACCGGTCGTCACACTTCATCTTCTCTAAAATTCACCACAGATGATAATCCATTGGGTGACGATTCTGATCTTCACTCTCTTTCAGAAGTGTTGCCAAGTTCATCAACGGATTTTAAAATCCATAGTACAACTGTTGTCAATATTCCCATCGTTAATCAATCTGTAGGTAGCAGTGTATTGCTAAGTGAATCGGATAAAATCACTGACTCCTCTGTCATGGGTAATCAACTGGATTCTCATGATATAAGAAAGCTTTCAACAAATTCCACTGTTGAGGTAAGAAATTTTCGGTGTTTATTTATTTTAAGCTGCTACTTAATTGCTTCTCTTACTATGTGATACTTTAGGCTTTATCAGGTAGTTGACTCAGGGGCGTAGAATCTGGACAGTGAAATAGGTTTTGTTCCAAAACAATTCCAACAGTGGTGTGAACACGGGCAGTAATTTTGCTCGAAATATATTACCAATAACAAAACTTATTATTATGTGTAAACTATTGAAATATAATTATGCTTTAAGTGAAATAGGTGTAGCTCATATCCTGTTACATGAGTATGTACCTGATTGGTTGAGAAATATGCTAAGAGAGATAAAAAAAATTCCTAATGAACAGGTAACTGTCTTGAAGTAAACCTAAATCAAAAGTAAGTCGTAACCAGTAGGGTACAGCAGGTCGGGTGTAATGACAAATACTCGCCGAAGACATTGGCTAGCAGTTGCGCTATATCGTGAATTGGCAGAAGTTAGAATTCATGGGCTGGCCATTGGATAGGGTCCCAGTGGCTTAATGGTCTACGAGCTCGCTAGCCTTGTAACCAGGAGGTCCTGGGTTCGAATCCTTGCGGTGGGTGCGTACTGATGAAGAGTCCCAAACTAGGATGAAACAGCTGTCCAGTACTCCCATCTGGTTTTTCCAATGGTTCTCTAACTAATGTCAACTCATAATGAAATCCTGTAATAAATCGAAAGTGTTCGCGTGGTTTGTGTAGGAGATTCTGGTTGTATACCAGTCTTACCTAGAGCCATATAAAGGTGTTGTTTAATTTCCTACGAATTGATTATGAATATCCTCCTTATTTTCAGATTTATGACTTATAATTTTTATCCATACCTTCGCTTTTACATTCGTTATGCGTTTGGTAAAACATCGTTTGTAGCTGGTTTTAATGAAGCCAGAGAAACAGTAGATTTAATACTGTGTAGTGTTATATAAGATGTTATATAATAATAGAAACTGTCTTATACCTTGGTTCGAAATAGTGCTTTATTTATTTATTATGGATAGACTGTTCAAATGAAAATGGTCTTCATGAGTAACTGTTTATCTTTAAGTTTTCGAGTGTAACATAGGTCATCAAGCTTCCGGAGTTTCAATACCAGTAGCATTGTTTTTATGGGATAAAGGTTGCCAGCCTCACATCCAGCCTTTCCTCTTTCCTGGCTTATTATCATCTGGTAAACTAGGTGAAGTTTAGGATTGCATCGGCTTGGAGTCAACCCTGGACCATGCGCGTAGTTATCGGACTTTCTGCCCTTGAATCATATACCATTTAACTCAATTCGTCTCCTACTGAAGCATAGGTACAGATCCTTCACTCCTATTATTTGTGAGGTACCTGATCAAACCGATTTTGCAGAGAGTGGGTACTAAACTCAACAAATGTGTTTACTATCCTGTAGGCTTTCTGTAAGCGTCCCTGCTGAATCAGAAATTTGTTCAGTAGAATATATAGAAAATGTGATATCTCCTCGTGTTATTTACTTCTCTAAATTCCTTCAGCACTTCATTCTTGTCAGTTTTCCGATCAAGAAGAATAAAAAGGTATCAACTCTATAACTGGCTTATCATAATTTTAAAAGTTGTTTGCATTTGGTCGTTGTCATAATTGTGATTATCGACAGATTCGATTAATTATTTTCTGCAATTAATAGTGTTCTCTGAGCTGGTTGGATTAGTTGCGGAGCTTTCGTCGCCCTTCTGGACAACATCTTCAGCGCAATATGAAGCATAAAGTGAAATGATTTAAGTTTCTTCATGAGCGATAGAATTGCATCTCCTGGTAACCATCTTGACATATGTATTGACCATTTTCTATTGACTCGGATTTTAAACTTTCTGGTCACCTGATTTACTTTTTGTTAGTCGGCATATTTCGTCTATATTAACGTGTTTGTTGATTGCATATTCGTTTGAGTACGAGGCTTCTAGGAATTCCCTGACTGTACTTTTGGTGTTTCGTCTGTCTAAGATTTCGACATTATCCCAATCAAACCGATGTCCATAAGTGTGTATATGCATTGATATGAAAGAATATATATCTTATCTTTTCACGGTTGATTTGTGTTCTTGGATTCTTATTCGAAGGGGACGCCCACTTTGGCCGATGTAATGCCTGTTATAGTTCATATAATTTATTTTGTAAATAGTATTAATTTTATCTCCTTTTTTTCTGTTGGGTCTTTCGGTTTTCATAATATCGAATAAAGCGATTTGATTGGGATAATGTCGAAATCTTAGACAGACGAAACACCAAAAGTGCAGTCAGGGAATTCCTAGAAGCCTCGTACTCAAACGAAAATGTAATCAACAAACACGTTAATATAGATGAAATATACCAACTAATAAAAAGTAAATCAGGTGACCAGAAAGTTTAAAATCCGAGTCAATAGAAAATGGTCAATACATATGTCAAGATGGTTACCAGGAGATGCAATTCTATCGCTCATGAAGAAACTTAAATCATTTCACTTTATGCTTCATATTGCGCTGAATATGTTGTCCAGAAGGACGACGAAAGCTCCGCAACTAATCCAACCAGCTCAGAGAACACTATTAATTGCAAATCATCCACCTGAGGTATACAGATCTCCTCTATTAATTATTTTCTATCCAATGTTTCCTACTTCTCTTTAGCTATTCAACGAAGTTACTGAAGCATTCACTTTTTGTTGTTTTCCTTAGCTTTAGTCCTATTGCATATTACCTAACTGTTAATTGTTTTACTGCTAATTATTGACGACAACAACAACAACAGTTAAGTAATTTAAGCATTTATCTTGCGTAATCTTAAAGTGATCACAAAGTCTGCAATTTTCACCTTGGTTTGTAAATTGCTCTTCATTTAATCCATGCTATCTGGGCATTCTGTTCACCGTGCTATGAACGCAAGTGGTCTACAGAAAGACAACATGCACTCATCTGTCATACTGAAGGAAATTCGCTCTGTTTCACCACGAACTAGATTTTATTTAGTGTACCTGTTAGTGAACTATAAATGCTGCTCACTACTCCTTTAACTCAGTCTGTTATGTCATGTTATGAATCGAATTACGAATATCTTAAACTTTTAGTAATATACTCTCTGTAGTCAATAACAGTCTTTTAATTAGAATTATGTATATAAATAAATTTGACATGGGCTAATTGTTAAGTATTTTTCTTTCTGCTATTCATCGAATCGGGTTTTTTTCTGATGGCTGGGTTTCTTGGAAAAGTCTAATCATTTTACCCTTCTTCTTCTTCTTGTCAATTTAGCAGGTAAAAAAAGTTTCTGACGCTTCTCAGTCGTCGTCTGTCGTGAGAGTTAAAAGTGACACATTTCCATCCACCTCTTCTACACCTACAACTACAAACACTTGTCAGGTTCCCAGCAAAATTACTGAGTCTATACATCTGCCTGCTACCATTCCCAAATCGATTCCTTCTAACCCTCCTAATTCTTCTTCACTGGGAAATACAGAAGTTAAACAACGGCATATCATTGCTGCGTCATCATCAGAGCCTACAAATGCTGGAATAAATCCAAAACACAGTCCACTTGGAACCACAAAATCGAAACTACAGATTTTACCTAGAAGACATAAGTAAGATGATTTTTTTTTAGATGTCGATATAATTTCCCATCTGAGTGCACGCATCATTTTATCATACCCTTGCATTAGTCAATATTACTGAATACGAATGAGATATTTGTGAAATAGTAACATAATCGTGTGCATTTCTACTCACGTGTTCATTGACAAACTTTCTTAAAACTGAAACAGGCGCTACTAACAATAAGGTATTCGGCGTGTACAGATATTAAAAACTCTAAAATCAATCGCTAAACGTATAAGGCGTTAATAACGAATCTAATATATACACACTTTAAAAACAGTATTTTCAAGTGATGGCTTGGAGAGAATTGATTGATTTCCATGAATCTTAAGCAGCCACTGCCTACTAACTGCAGGTTGAAGCTGCCAGGGATGTCATAATAAGCAGTGCCCATCCATCAATTTGACCGCGAGAACAGATCCTCATAACATTGACTAGCAGTTGAGCCATATCGTGAATTGCGAGGAGTTAGCGTTGATGGGCCATTGGATATCGTCCCAGTGGCTGAATGGTCAACAAGCTCACCACATAACCTGGATGTCGTGCGTTTGATCCCCAGTGGGTGAGTACTGAACTACTGAGGAGTCCCGAACTAATACGAGACAGATGTGCAGTATTCCCTTCTTTCTATAATGCCTTTGTAACTGAAGTCAATTCGTGATCAAAATTAAAAACGATGTGTGCTAAATACTTTTGTATACTTTTAAGCGTTAAAATTTCCACATATATATAACTATTGTTTTAATGTGTCGCTGTTGTGTTGCACGGTTGTCGTATATTTTGAGCGATTGTGAAACACCTATGAACCCACACACTTCTATTTCGGAAGTACATCACCATCGTAGGTAGCATCCAATGAACAATCTAATTACTCTTAGTCAAAAGAAAGCCATCACAACTTGCCAATATCTATGGTCATATATATATATATATATATTATCAGAAGCGAGATTCCGTGATCATATCTTTTTCGGTGATATAAAGATTTAAGACAAATAAGCACTTAAAAATTACGTTAACTTTAGAACATAAATGTTTTGATAATTTGTTGATAATAATAATATTCCTATCACCAGTTCCAAAAGAATTGAGTTATTAAGTTTCTTCAGAATATGAGTGATTAGTTGTGTCATTTTTCTTGTTTTTCCACTTACTGGACATATGTTTCCATTTTCTGCCTCGTCGATCTTGTCTATCACGTTGCAATATCCATATTATCATGAGTATGTAAGTTGAGATGATGTCAGCAACTGTATTGATTAGTCCTCTACCTGAGTGTCGTAGGCCGTGGAAGTCTCGTGGCTTTCTTTCAGTTTCCTTTGTTCCAAATTTCTATACTTTTGAAATCAAATTTAGACTTATCCTAATTCACCCATATAAGGAGGAATGTATCATAGGAGTTGAACACAGCTAATTAGTGTTCATCACAGTTTTTTAAACTCTTTTCCTAGTTTTTACGAGTTGATCATGGATTGATATCAGTTAGAGGACCATTGAAACCAGGGAGTACTGGACAACTGCTGTTTCATCCTAGTTTGGAAATCATCGGGAGTACGCACCCACTGCCAGGATTCGAACCCAACTCGTGGAAACATAACTAATCGTTACAAACCAAACTATAGAAAATTAATCTGATGCTCGCTAGTCACCACTAGCTACAGGATGGAGTTTCCTGGAGTTCTAGTGAGAAGTCGTGACCAGTGAGGTCCAATTAGATGACACGTGTGTGGATGGATGTCACACCGACGACAATGGTTGGGGTCGCGCTAAATCACGAATTGGTAGAAGTTAGAATTCATGAGCCATTGAATCGGCTCCCAGTGGCTGAATGGTATACGAGCTCGGTGGTCTTGTAACCGGAAGGTGCTGGGTTCGAATCCCAGTGGGTGCGCACTGTCGATGATTCCCAAAGCTAGGATGAAACAGCAGTTAGTTGCCTAGTACTCCCTGTTTTTCAATGGTTCTCTAACTGATATCAATCCGTGATCAACTCGTAAAAACATAACTTCACAAACCAAACTATAAAAATGTTTTCCTAGTAGAAATCATAAGTGCTATATTATTAGGTACCTTTGGTAACCCAACCAGAATAATCGATTGGATTTAAAAATCAGCTTGTACAGCTTGTCTTCAGCTTCAGTCAACTGATGACCTAACTTAAGCTACTCTTTAATTTCATGTGTGTTTCTGGCAGTATAATGGCACAACTGGTTTTTGATGAATCGTAAAACTCAACTTATGTTTATCATCAACCACAAAGACACCTGCTCTACATTGTTAATAGCGTATCATTTGGAATCTAGTAAGGCATAAACTCGTTTCAATATCTATCAGTCGGAGTCTGTATCGATTTGTTCTCAGATTTACTTAAGTTGTGAACTAATAAGAATCTGCATTTGAAAATAGTGAGTAACTTCTATCTATGTCAGTGGTGAATTCCATACATCTTTCAATACCTACGTGTCTACTTCTTTGTATTGTATTTTCCTCCATTTTCTCATTAATTTCTTGAAATGATTTGTAACTAGCTAGATTAGTAAACAAAAGGGACTGACAATATATATATATATATATATATATATATATAGTAAGCAATAGAACAGTTTTTCTTTCGATAGAAATTATATATCATTGCCATATGATTTCCTGTCCAACAAAGCATTATGAGAAGAAAAATATTTTGTTCTTATCTACGGCTGGAAATGAGGTCAAAATAGCTTATACTTACTTACGTTTTAAAGGCAATGTGTCAAGATATACAGATAGCAATATTAATAGTAAGTGGTGAATTTTACCACCCTATGAGGATTTAGTTTTCCAACGTGTGTGTCTTGTAGCATGTTGAACGCGGGAGTATAACTGTTCAACCTCTGAAACACCATAGAAAACATAAATTATGTGGGAAAACATTTTCTCATTAGATATGTTCGTTGTTTCTTCATGGTACGAAGTGATTCATAATTTTGAAGTTTATGCAACTGATTAATATATATATATATGACAAATTACACTGTAACATGAAGAGCGAAGTATTCAACAATAGGTCTTCTCAGTGCACTTTTATGTGTGTATATTTTCCTTTGAAAACTTGATCCTTCGTGGCAATTTAAAGAATGGCTTTCTTACTTTTTCCCCCATTATTTCATACTTTCTCTATAGGACACTCTGTGGGAAATACAAATTATTGTCCTTGCCTTTGTGGCGTTGGCTTTCACTGATGCCAGCCCAAGATGCAGTGCAGCATTTCTTAAAAAGTGCTTTACGGTTCATTTAGCGATGAGCACTGCATTTAACTGTTGTTATAAGCTCTGAGAATAATCTTCAGTCTCTCCAATTATGCATAATACTTTATACTAATACTTCAAATTTCATGTGTATAACACTCATTCTTATACTGGTTTACTCAGAAAAATAATTTATTTTCTGGGTGTAGTGGCTGGTACAGCACGATTATCTCAAATTTCATTATAGTTATTTGTGGCTGCAACGCCTGGAATCGTTATGTCTTATATTGTTTTGCGTGCAGTTTTCTGAGCCTTCATTCTCTGAAAAATTGGCTGTGCATCGTAGTTTATGCGGATACGTTGCTTACGAAAGAAATTTATGTAATCAATGCAAATGTAATATTCACTACTATGTATTATTATGATTTAATTATCATATACTAACTAAACTACTCAGCGCTGAAGGTTGTGCGTTAAGGTGGTGTAGATCTGCTACCTGGAGATAGACTTTTCGACCTCGAGTATGCAGACGATATCGTCTTACTGAGCGATAGCATGCAGGCTGCCCAAATCGCACGTAATCAGTTGGCGATCAGTGTCTGTAAGTTTGGTGTGTGCTTTGCGCTGTCTAAGTGCAAAGTACTGTTACGAGATTGGCAGGGACCTGTACCTGCACTCACTCTCACAGGTGAATCGCTTGAAGTTATTGATAAGTTTGTGTATCTGGGTAGTTGTGTGAATGCTGGCGGAGGGGTGACGAATGAGATTTCCAACCGTATAGTGAAAGGTAGAGTGGCATACGCTAACTTGAGCCACCTCTGGCGCTGTCGAGATGTTAGTCTGGCTGTCCAAAGGTCGGGTATACAATGCTTCGGTGTGGGCTTTCTTGCTCTACGCCTGTGAAACCTGGCCTCTCCGAGCTGAGGATGTGCGACGATTTTGCGTGTTCGATCATCGCTGTCTCCACAGGATTACTTGCGTTCGATGGCATCATCGCGTGAGTAATTCTGAGGTTCGGCGGAGTGTGTTTGAACACAGTGGAGATCATCATTCATTGAGTGTCGTCATCTGGAAACACCGGCTCCGGTGGCTTGGATATGTGCTGCGAATGTCACCCCAGAGGCTTCCGTACAGGTCTCTGTTCGCTAGCCCTGGGACGGGATGGAAAAGGCGGAGAATTGGTCAGTCCATGACGTGGCGTCGTGGGATGAAGGATTTTTGTGCTAGATTAGCATCGGTTGGTGTGTCACGACTTCCTGGTTGGGGTCCACGAGATAGCTCGAATCGATGGCTCGAAACGTTATCGGATATGGCAAAGGTTGTTAATCAATGGCGAACGTGTTGCAATTTCCTTCTTTCCTCCCTTCTCGATGATAGTTAACGAACACTGTTTGAACTTGTTAAGTATGACTGTTTTCCTTCCAGATGAAGTTCTTTATCCGTTCTCTACTTATATTTTTTACCTTTGATCTATATTGTTTTATTATTATTGTGTGGCGCATCCTTCTTGGTGCCATATTGTACCAAGTTTTTTCTGCGTTTAAATAAAATAAATAATAATACTATCTATCCCAATGTTCTGCGTTTGAATTCGATTAGAAGAAATGTATAACAGCAGTTCACAAAATTTTGAATTAATCGTATTCTCTGTGCTGATTAATTTAATTGCGAAGCTTTCATCGTCCCTTTAGACAACAACTTCAGCGCAGGTTTTAGTATGAAGTAAACTTATTTGAATTCTCTATGACTGATATAATTGTATCTCCTGTCAACTATTGTCGTGATTGGTTGTTGGTTTACGTTCCTATTGATCATTTTTTACTGACTTGAAATTTGAACTCTCTTGTCATGTGATTTACTTTTTATTGGTAAATTTGATCTATATTAATGTGTATTGTTGATATTATGTGGCTGGAGGCAATCGGCCACAGGAAGCCTTGGAGCTAGGTTTGCGTGCTAGTTGGCACTCACAAGTCATCAAGGCGTATCTGCAACCTTGAAGGAATTCATGTCCCTTCTGAAACTCGAACCTGTGAAGCCAAAGGCTACAGTTACCACTCAGCTATTCGGGTTCGCCATCGAATTCCTCTAGGACTGTACTGGATACTTTGATTGGACACTAATCAGTAACTAATGCAATGTATCTACTCCTGGGTGGCTCACCATCACAGGGCACTTTGAACTGTTGATATCAGATGGTTGGAGGCAATCGGCAAACCTGACTGATAGAATTCGGTCTGCATTAAACAAAGGACTAGACACACTACACTAGTTGCTAACCAGCGTCCAATTAAAGTGATGTGTTTGTCAACTGCTGATTCACCTGAGTACACCAGGCTTACAGAAATTCCCTGGCATTTTTGGTGTTTCCTGCACTTAAAATTTCTACATTATCCCAATCAAACTGGTATCCGTACTTACCTACATGCATTAATATGAAAGAATAGATATCACGCCTTTTTATAGCTAATGTGTATTCTTGAATTCGTATTCGAAGGGGACGCCCACTTTGACCAGGAGATACAATTATGTCATTCTTAGAGAATTCAAATAAGTTCATTTCATACTGAAACCTCGATTAATTCATGAAATTACTGCTCGAAATGGAAAAGCTGTGCGGTTTATATTCACATGTTTTCGGATTGTAGTGGCTATTCACATGTTTCCTATATGTTGACATTGTCCCTCTGTTCTACTGTAAAGTTGCTCAACATGACACTTTATTGTATTTCCTTGTATCTATTTTCTTTTCTTGTAGTTTCATATAATAGAGTATTGCGTTAATCTATGTTATAAAGACTGATGACCTAAGTTAACTTCACAAGTTAAGGTAAATAATTAGTGTTTCGAAAAGTGACTTCTAACCCTAAATTGCAAAGTTGCAATCGGTTGTTTATATAATATACTACGTTCCCGTCAGATCTAAAACTGTTTTCAGAAGAATCGTTCTTCCACTTATTACTATTATGGCAGTATTGCTTTTATACCTTCAGTTTATGTATCACGGACATTATTTTCACATTACTTTCAAAGTACCACGTTGTCCTACCTTCTATATTGCATTTTAAGTTTTGTGGATAAATATACTCATGCACTTCGAATCATACAGTCTCTGTCTTTCTATTCTACTTCGTTTCATATTGTAACAGATTCTCGTCTTGGATACTATACACGTCTTGTGCATTGGGTTTATTTTCAACTTATTGGCTATTTAGTGGATTCGTATGGGGTCTAATTATCGGTTGCCTGCTTACATATACGTGTATTTCTTTGCGTAATTATCTGTATACCTCTACTGAGTGTACTAATCAAACTCTGTGTCCTATATCAGGCTTACCATTGAATCAGTTGTGTTGTTCATTGCATTATCGACAAGAACAAGAAGGCTACTATCAAGCCTCACAATGGTGGCCAATCTATTCACCCGCCATGCCAAATATATCTTCTCTGTTGTCTAATACTAATACTGCTACTGGGAATAAAAGTATACAATTGAGAAATCTACCGAATTTCACTGTGCCAAATATGCTTGAAGAAGATGTGAACAAGTCAACATCATCTGGTCCATTGGGAAATAGTCTAGGCTTTAAATATGATAAAAGTGGAAGACCAATTTATAAAGGCTGGTTAAATGAGGTGAGTTGAAAGATTAAAATTATATATATATATATATATATATATATATATATATATATATATATATATATATATACCTGTACCTTTGTAACAACGTAGTATCTATTTGAATGGTTTTTGTAATCTTATGAAATAGTTGCCTAATTATTTTTAATAGTCTTTGGACACACTACCTTACTGGATTACCAGTCTTTCTAACTGATCAAACCAAAATGAGGTTGATTACGTACACTTTACCTCTAGTCTCATTTGAACTATCAGCAAACTAAATTATTTATGTTATTATTATCATTATTATTCCATTGGGTTCCGACTAGAACTGTGCGTCGGTGGCACAGTGGTTAGGACTCTCGCCGACCATGCACATGGTCCCGGGTTCGAGCCCTCGCCGACGCACACCTGATATCTATGGTCGGCCTGCGAATTTTGGGCTACCGATATCCACGCTGAAAATTCCATACTTGTACCAAAAATACGGTGTGGAATCAAGCTGTAATCAAAAATAAAAAAAATAAAAATAGCTTCAGCAGCACATCCAAATCTTCTTCCTCATATTCAATGGCTTAGGTTCCCAGACTACCTTCGAAATAATGAAGGTTTGTAGGGATTTGGTTGGTTTCAGGATTTCATCATGAGCTGACATTAGTTAGAGAGCCATTGGAAAACCTGGGAGTACTGGACAGCTGTTTTGTCAGCCTAGTTTGGGACTCTTCATCAGTACGCACCCACCGAGATTCGAACCCAGGACCTTCTGGTTTCAAGGCCAGCTGAAATGAAGATTTGTCTTGTTTTAGTGATCTTAGCTGGCCTTGATTTCCTATTGTGTACCTCTTGTAGTGTATTTGAGACTAGTTCTGCCTAAATAAGTGAAGGAAATAATTTCCTTTCCGTTTCTCCTCTTTAATAGATAGTGATTGATGCTTGATGTTGTTGTTGCTGTGGGTTAATTGTCTTCATCACCTCTGTCTTCTGTATGCTCACTTGAAGTGCCTGTCTTCACTGCTTCTTCTGTCGGCTCGTTGGTTTTCGCCTGTAGATCTTAGAGTTTAATGTAACATGAAACATACATCATCCGCGAACTCCTAATTTTCTATAGTCTTCTTATCTGTCCAACGTATGCCTGTCTGTTATCGTCTGTTGATTCATCCAACCCGCCACAATTAGGAATATCATCAGTAGTGATAGAAGGTAGTCGTCTTATCTTGTGTTTTCGGCACAGAGCAGATAATGAAAAGAAGACTTTTAATACAGATTAATATCAGGCGCATTTATCATCGGTTGTATTGAAGTAACACTATTCAGGTTAATACTACAAGCTTACCTATGCACAATAAAGTGATGCATCGCATTGTAATATATCGTTGCGAATAATAACCATTTTATTTTCATACTGGAAAGATTCGATTTTATGGATGAGATTTGTTTTTCTTTTCTTCACAATATGACTCTTGTTCTCTTTTCATCGTAATTTTTCGTTAGCCAGCGTTTGATTTCTGAAACATTTTTTCTGTCTGCTAAAATTATGCTTCTGTTTACCTGTGACCATTTGCTTACTGTTGGTTAGCAGGGTGCTTCTTGATGGAATTCCCAGGGTATGTGCATATCTACAGGGGCTCATGGAGATGTAGCTTTCTTTATGTTTACTATCTGAGTCTGCACTACACTGCACTATTCATTAATATATAACTACTTTTAGGCTATTGCACAGTTTTTTATGTTCTGATGTATGATTCTTTTTCCCATATACATCGTGAATGGTGTTCGCGTAAACATGGGCTAAAGTGATTCATGATGAGTCATCACCTACATTAATGCATTTGGATCGTAATAGAAATAATTTTGTACGGCACATATAACGTTCAAATATAAGAAAGCGGAGATTGTTTATTCATGCTGCTGTACACCTGATACAGAAGATAGACACTGCTAGGAAAAATGTTTATACGATAAAAGCGGTGAAGTAAATATGCCTTACAACTGTTATCATGCATTATCAACAATGAGTCATTCACTGACTATAATACCACTCCCACAAATAAACTGAAATTTTTGGGCTGGATAATACGAACTCATTTTATTTCGTGGATTCTCTTCAACTGCGTACATCCTAAATAAATACTTTTTACAATGACTACAAATTATAGGCACAAAGTATAGACACCATAATTTCAAAGATAATATAAGTAGGCAATTATTAAGTGTTAAGAGAGTAACTGTAAATGTAGTTATTAGACAAACACATGGAGTTTTGATTTCGCTTGGAAACGAGGATGGACTAGAGACGAAATAAGATAAGATAAGATAACAGCTTTATTCCAAATCAGTACTTGTGATACAGAATGGAATTCTCAGCATTTCTACTACAATATTGCATCCAGTTAGTACGTTAACAATAAATAAAGTTCTACATAGATTAAAGTTATCTCAGTCAGTTTTGACAACAACATATTAGCATGTCGATAGCAAAGCCAAAATTTAAACAGTGTTTGAAGGTGTTAGAAAAGTAGATACTACTAGCATATTTACTGGCGTAAGCGATAGCAAAATGGTCGAGATATACAGAGAGTGAAAGAACGAACAAGAATGTTTTAAGTAGAGTTTGTAATGAAGAGAGAAACAAAACAGCACATAAGAAAAATAAATACAGAATGAAAAAAAGTAGAGAGAAAACGTTGTACCTGTAAATGATGTGAGTTGGAAAGACGAGATCCATTTGTTCTACTGACTATTTATTAAGTTAAAGGTTTCACGCCTAATGCTTTCTTTATCGCACAGAACACGAGCTAGGTAGGGTATGGATGAGTTTTTGTACTTGCTAGTGCGGGCATATAGTTTCCTATATAGGCTTCTTGTATTCCCTGAAGTGATACACGGGGAGAGTTGTGAATGTAGAGGGTGTTGTGAGTTAGATAAAATGGTTTTCGCCCATTTTTCACATGAGTCCATGTGCCTGTCCACCAGAATATTAACAAGCTGGCTAAGTGGCAAACTGCTTACCCTGCTGACAACCTTTAACATCCTACGTAATAAGGTATAGTCTTTCTTCAATAGCCCAGGAAAGACTAAGGGGGAACAGTAGAGAATAATAGGCAGAATACGGAAGTTAACAAATTGTAGGAGTAAGGGTTGGGTTGGGTTATTCCAGAATGTCTTAACTTCTTGATGTAGAAGGTAAGACGGAGTATTTTCTTCGAAATCGTCAAGATATGAGACGACCAGGAAAGATCAGAAGATAGAGTGACGCCTAGGTATTTAATTTCCGACTTGGTTTCAATATCAGTGCCATTTATGTTGCACACCTCGTGAGTGCTAACCAGTTTGTTTAGGTCAGATTTGTGCCTAAAGGTGAAATTAACTGTTTGGCATTTGGAGGGGTTTAAGGTGAGACCGTTTTCCTTGGACCATTGGCTAATTTCTGATAAGAAGCCATTTAGTTTAGAGCAGTCACTTTGACATTTGACAGGTAAAGATACAGTTAGGTCATCAGCATATTTGACAAAGTTAATGTCATTTGAAGACGGTAGGTCATGTAGGAAGAAAGAAAAGAGAAGTGGGGAGAGTACAGCACCTTGGGGGACACCAGCTTCAGTGAGCACAGCAGAGGAGGATTCGCCTTTGTATACGGTGTACTGCATTCTGTTTGAAAAGTAGGAATGCAACCAGTTAGTGACCCAGGACTCGGTTTGTGTCATGGAGAGCTTATTTAGCAAGAGACATCTAGGTACAGAGTCGAAAGCAGAAGTGAAGTCAAGAAACGTGCAGCGGACATATTTGGCACCTTTGTCTAATGATGAGACAATACTGTTGTGTAAGACGGCTGCAGCGTCTAAAGTACTCCTACCCTGTCTGTAGGCAAATTGTTTGGGGTCTTCGAAGCTTTTAAGGGAGGGTTCGAGTTTAAGAAGTACTAGTTTTTCCATGAGCTTTAGAAACGGGGAAGTGATGGCAATGGGTCTGAACTTTACGTTCTTGCTATTGCCAGGTTTAGGGACAGGGACTATTTTAATGTCTTTCCATGGAACAGGTACAACGTTTTCGGAGAAAGAAGCATTTAGGATATTAGTTAGAGGAGAACATAAAGCATCTGCACATTGTTTTAGAACATATGCAGGTATGCCATCAGGGCCAAGACTATGTGAGGGCTTAAGAGTTTTAAGACATTTCAAAACATCGAGAGTATTGAAGTCCTGGAAGTTATCAGCTACAAGATTAGTAACGTTAGAAGTGGTTATAGTAGAAGGAGAGCGTATAAAAGACAGATTAAGAGCATTAACATCACAAGAGGGAAAAACATTACATCGCTTACTATTGCCAGTAATTTCATTGAAAAATTTCCACATGCTGTTAGGAGATTTGCATGATAAAAGTGTTTGGTTATAGATAGCATTAAGATTTTTGATTTCAGATTTGATTTGAGCATTAATCTTTTTAAGTCCTAACTTGTCTTTGCATTTATATAACATTTCTTTTTGCCTGCGAAGTTGTTTGAGATGGGGAGACGAGAAGCGGTCGAGGCGTTTGAACAGTGTTTGTTTGGGACAGCATATGTCGAGGCAGAACTTAAGATAATCCATTATATTGGTGATTGAGTCATCTAATGTACTTTCATAGAATAGATCCCAGTTGGTATCTTTTAACATGCATCTTAGATTGAGTAAGTTGTCAGATGTGTAGCATCTTTGTTGTGCTTTCGTAGACAGGTGTGAGAAGATTTTAATATGTGTTTTGCTGTATATTTTTGGCAAAACGCGGACAATGCAGTGATCGGAGTTTAGTATCGGTGAACGTCTACGTGTTTCATATACTCCTTCGTCATTAGTAAAAACTAGATCGAGTGTTTTGTCAAGTCGAGTGGGAAATTTGACTATGTTTGTGTGACCAAGAGCTTCAAGAAAGGAGCAATCTGATGTGTTGAAGTCTCCAGTAATAACGGATAGAGAGTTGTCGAAGTTGGCAGCAGCAAACATGGTGAATTCATCAGCAAAATTAGATAGATCAGATGGAGAGCAACTAGGAGAAATGTACATGTTTGTAATATAGAATTGTTTATATTTGGGGAGATGTTTGGGGCGACATTTGACAGTAATACAGTCAATGAAGTCATTTGAGAAGGTGAAGCAGACGTTATTTGAGACAGACCATTTGGAGTGAATAAAAGTTGCAACGCCACCACCATTTTTCTTATTACAACATTGACGGTCTTGACGAAATAAAATAAAGTCCTTTAGTGAGATAAGGTTGTCATCATACAGTTCATGCAACCACGTTTCTTGTAATGTGATTATGGCGGTGTTATGATACGTATCAGTTGACATCAAGGATTGTAGGTACATTATCTTGTTTGGCAGAGAGCGGCAGTTTGTGTTCATTATGACGGGGACCGTAGTTAAGTGTATTGGTGTACGTTTGAGAGCTCTCTGCCAACCACTACGATGTTTCCTCCTTGGTTTCTTTGGAATATGAAAGTCATTTGGTCGTAAATGATTAATAAAGTTACGAGAGTAAATGATTCTGTTAGAATTCATATTTAGGTGATAAATATATGTTGGTAAACAGTATACTGGATGCAAAATGTAGATATTTTAGTAGCAGGCCCAAAAATTCGAACAGGCCGCCAAGGTCAAGATAGAACAACATACGTATCACGAGGGTGACAGTGAATAGTAAAGTAAGATTATAAAATAGATAAAATATTTTAATTTAGTAGATTTACAACATCAACAGTGAGTTCACCTCAATGCGTGAAAATTAAATTGAGTAGAATATTATACAACGGGACAAAACAAACTGAAATTATCAGTGTTGCTTCTTTACTCTGCAATGAGATAGTAATTAAATAAATCAAATGCTTTTGAGAAAATAAGACCGCTCTAATCCTATTTTTATGCTAAAACTTGAAGAGGGTTGATGATATAAATATGTCATAGAATCAACACTATCGATGTCTCCAACACGAGATATGCCACAGTCGAAACACACTGGATTTTCATACATTCGGTTCCCTTGATAAATTTCGATAGAGAAAGAAAGACCAGATTTGTAGTACAAACTGATATCATTCTATTTCACAGGTTCTCATCAGCTAACGGCAAACTACCTGAAATTACAATGGTTATAAATAATAATAATAACATTTCATACCTCATTGTTTGGAAGGTAATAGAGAAAACATTAGAAGGTGAACACATCTGGAATATAAGTACTATAATTAATAGTTTAAGTTACCATTAATTTACATGCTATCAAACTATGGAAAAAGAAAAAGGGGGGATGAGAGAAGACAAAAAACAGAAAATATCTAATAAACAGTGTCAACCTGGCAACTCAAGAAGGTCAAAGTTCATCAATTTGGAAACTTGCCTAGTGAGTTGAGCCCACTAGTGTGTATGACTAATCAGTGTACTGAAATTGATATGGTTACCAAGGGAGTGAGAGATTGACCACACTCTCTTTCTGTATGCATAAGTTTAGTCTGTGACGTTTGATTTCAATCGCTTCAGCAAATCGTAGTAGATCCACTGTCGTTTGAATGTTTAATATTTTGAAGGATTTGGAAATCCCGACAAAATGACCCGTATCCACAAGGTGTCTGTTAATTGCACTTTGTAAATATCTGCTTCCTTTTAAGCATAAGTTCCCGGATAGAAGCCCTTCTTTCTGTCCTTCCAATGTACTTTCTGCAGCAGGTACACGTAAATTTATAAATGCAGTTGGAGGTAACATCAGCAGGGTACTTATCCAGTTTCGATTGGCTTATAGAGCATATAGTACTATATAGTGTGACCAGATTGGCTTCAGCGAAGCATCTCTCCATCTTTCCTTTCATCATCTTTTCATGTATTCATGTGCATTATGATTAACTGTTCGTTGAACTCTCTAGTGAAAAAAGAACAACATCACATATTGGTTTGGCATGCTTTTCATTCTTTCAAAAGCGATAGTCTAGACCACCTTCAGAACTTTTTGTTTGAGGTATATAACTATACAAGAGTAAGTAGATCGATCAGTCAAGCCTTATGCTTACTCATTTCTTTCATCTTATTTCAATACATGTTTTTTACAAGTCATATCCTAACTTGTGCGTCACTATCAATATGAATGTTGAGTTCATCGAATCGATTTAAAGAAGAGTTAATGCTAAAACTCGGAGATAATGACACTACAGTAATCATCGGGCCACAATCTCTCACTGAATCAATCAATCTTTGATTCGTAACATATTTATCTGACTCTGATTTTAGTTTACGACACGATCCTAGTTGCATTGTGTGCTGCTGAAGAGCCTTTCTTCAGGCCAATATGGTTGTCAGTGTATTCTTTGATTCCCGGTAATTTCTAACAGAGTTCTGCTAGTGACAGTAGTGTACATTCAAATGAATCAAACTCCAACATCTTAGTTCCACTTCTGTTGTAATGGTGGTAATTGGCTATATCCTCTTACATATTCTATATTTAACTTTAATGCATTTTACTGTAGCCTTTCTTTTCATCATGACAATTTAACTCATTTCAGTCACTTGGAGATATATTTTCTTCTGTTGTGATCATCATGTACGTTGAATACACGTGCCTACCTACTTAAAACAATACAAAAATTATCTCTATAGCTGCTATACAATTTAAGAAAACATTCAAGTTGTGTTTAGCAGTGAAACTGGGTAATCTTCTTGATTGAATTTAAGCTTGTTGATGATGTGCTTGTCATCAGTAAGTGTCTGTCAAATTCACTTTCATTAAGTGTAAATAACACTTTTCCAGAGTAATAATAATAATAATAGACCTCTATTTTTTGCTTTTTCACAACTCAACCTTAATAATTGAGATGATATGATGATATACATACTGATCAATTTATTTTAAAAAAAGACACTTGTAATCGCCACTTAGCTAGAAAGAGAGATAAAATGGCAAATCACGAAAACCTTTGGTGATGGATAAAGAAAGAATCAATATTTTATTTGTTATTCTTATCTTAATGGAAAAGTAATCCACTGAGAAGAAATCAGGTCATTCAACTGCAAACATTATATGTATATATATGTTCAATTATTATATTCACAATTCCTTTATATTGTTGTATATCTGAGTAGTGAATACGATATAATATTATATTATTGGCATAAGAGACAAATTGGTTATATCTTTTAAGTACAGTCTTCATTCGTCGTCGTGTTCTTTCTCATCACCTAAGGATGTTATGGTACACATTGGTTTTTTCCTCATAGTATGTTTGTGTGTGGGAGGTGTAAATATATGAATGACCATTGATGTATTGTCATGTTTTCATCTATAATTTGTACAGTTCCAGTTGCTGTAAAATTCCAGGTACTTTCCTCACCGAATTTTGACTCTGAAAGACGTTCATTAAAAGTTAGGTTTCCATCTGATGGTCCTTCAAACAACCTTATCAGAAAGTTCTCATTTTATTGCCGGTATATGGATGACACTTTCATTCATTTTGGGAGGAACGCAATAATATCTCAATTCAATGAACTAAATTCAGCTATCAAATTCACGTGTAAAGAATATCCAGGTCAAATTGCCTTATTAGAAATCCTACTGACAAGAGTCCCAGACGATAGCATAAAATGGAATTTGCCTAGGAAAAGTGTTTATTGTGCTTATTATTAATTCCTTTGGGTTCCGAGTGGAGTCTAGGGCTTCAAAGTCACATCTACACCTTGTTCTTTTATCTGCTGTCCTCTTCATCTGTGTCCACGGTTGCCCATAATCTCCCTTATCTCTTCCTCACACCATCTCCTCCATGTCACACTCGCACCGACGACCCTCTCGTCGCTCCCCATGGGGATTCCACTCGAGTAACGGTCTGGCGCGTGGTGTCATTCGACAGCCTCGTCAATGTATGCCCGACCCATCTCCATTTTCTCCTACGTATTTGTCGAGCGATCGGCTCTTGGTTGGTTTGTTGCCAGGATTTCTTGTTACTTATTCTTTCTGGCTGGCCATGTTGATCATCAGTATAGAGCTCACGAAGGCAGCTGTTGATAAAAGTCTTCAACCTGTTGGAAATCCTTTTGGTGACACGCTGGCCAAGTTTTTGAACCATATAGAAGAACTGACTTCACATTTGTGTTGTTGAATAGAATCCGAATCTTGCTCTTTATGTTGAGGCGGAGTGCAGGACATTTTCAAACTGGTTTCGGGTTGATGAAGGCGTATCTTGTATTCTCGATTCTGGCCTGCTTTGATATATTCATCCGTCGCGACTGCTTATAGTTGACACGATGCTTCCTAGATACGTAAAAGCAGGAAGTAACCTTTGTTGGATCTCTCCCGTTGATGCAAATTGGTGCTGGTTGTTGTTGCTGTTGCGGTTCGTTGGTTATCTTCACCACCTGTGTCTTCTCTATGTTCACCTGGAATCCTGTCTTGGCTGTTCATGTCATCAACCAGTTTGTCGCTTCTCGCCTGCCAGTCCTGCAGTTTGTATGACACTAGACATATGTCATCTGCGAGATCCAGATCTCCTAGAGTCTACTTATCGGTGGTCCAGCGTACTCCTATCCCGACTTCTAGATACCGAACACTGGAAACAGCAGAGACCACTGCAATTCTCCTAAATCAATCGGAGCTCTACGTACAAAAGAAACAGGTTCAGCCACTATCGCTACCCTGTCAAGCGTTTAAATTCATAAATTCCATGTTACCTCTCTTAATTTGTGTGATATTTATTTTAGTGTTATATTGGTGCATATCATCTCTTTTGATACTTGCACTTTTCATAGTTAATTGGCTGGGAATAATTGTATAAATTGATGTTTCGTTGCAAAAATAAATATGATTTCTTTATAAAATCTTTTTCTTCTAGATTACGAATTATGACCCTGAAACTCATCATATTGGTAGGACATTTTCAGTTTTTATTACACTTGATGGTACACAATTACGTTTACAACGTCCTGAACACAATATCACCCGTCGATCACTGTGGAATGATGAGATTCCATCCACCACAACTATGCGATTTAAACAACAACGTATCTATGACTTATCTGATTCCAGCATAACACTTCTTCCGTATGGATTAGTTGGTAAACGTCTGTGGAGTAGAAAGTATCCCATATGTATTACTGTCCCATTCCAGAACAAATCCAAGGTAAGTATTTTTTATGTTTTATGTCTAATTTTGCATGAAAACGATATCCATCAAGTTTGCAGACGTACAGTTTTTTAATAATCTTTTAAAAATTTCAGAATATAAGTAATCATGACCTCTACTATTCGCATCTTTATCCGGAGATTCTCAAATATTGAACTGAATTTTTGACTTTCCCGTCTATTGATTGGACCGAAGTGCTCGGTCTCAGGTTGACATGTCGGATTCTTGTGCAGATACTTCGACGATGTCTGGGCATTAAATTAGTATACAATTGGTGGATTGTGGCTAGCGGTGGAATCCTCGGTGGGAACATCTTCACTCACTGAGAAATGCAGTTACACCCAGATGACGAGTCCCAAATAGGACAGTGGAAATGCGCATCCTGGATTCCACTGCTAGCCACCATCCACCAATTGTAGATTCTCAAATAGCTTTTAGATAACATTAATATCGATTGTTACTGCTTTTAATTTTTCTGAAAATCTCCTACTGTATGTAGTTAGCGGGTAAAGTTTTCATTTTATACATTCATATTGCAAACGTCTTTCATATTTATTTCATAGGATCTACTACGGTTAATTCTCATAAATATTGTCAAACAAAACTACTCTTCAGCTCCTATCTGTTACTTGTTTAGAGTGCCTTGGAGGCACTCTGGTTTCAGAAAACAACGTTATGTCTGCTTTAACGAACACGATTTAGACTTATTAAAGAATGATTAGGAATAAAAGAAATTTCTAGAGGCTAAAAGAATGAGAATGCCGTCTTAAAAATACATCTATTACAGCATCATATCAAAGCTACCGAAATGGACCTCGAAAAATATGTCGCCGTAAACATTATCTCTTATTAATTAATGTCAACAATGCTTATTAGTGGTCGTTATTGTCATCTTTAGGCGTTTTGGGTCTTAGTACAAGTCAGCTTTCTGTCCACAACTCCCTAGATGTTCACTTCAGTTTTAGAAGGCATAAACCACAGATTTTTTTGGCAGGGAAATTCCACTGGACGAAGATGCTACTACTCAAGAGTCAGTAAATGATGGTAAACACTTTATTGTCCATACAGTTAATTTTTTTAATCCGATTCAATGACAGATTGCAAGAGATCATTACAAAACGCTGGTCTCGAAAGGCTCCTGAAAATGAGGCACCATTCCATCAAACTTTGACAACAACCAGTCTTCCCGTTACTTGAATGGGGTTGAGTTGAACACAGTTTTCGCTTATGCACTAAAAAGTTAACGACAGCGTATATTCCAACAAAAACAGAAGCCCAGAAATAGACTTCATCAATAATATAGATTTATCGCTTCTTTTTCGTTAATCACCGACTTTCTTGTATCTGTTAGTTTTAACAATGAAACTTTTCTGTATTTTCTGTAGCGAAAAACTGAAAGACTTAATTCATTGCCGTCATCAACAAGTTTTCCGAATATCTTGTTATCTACGGCTGGGGGTAATTCAACAACCAACGAGGTATCAGATTTGTTAGTCGATACATCTGTTCCATCAACTACTGGCGATATGGAATTCCCTGATGATACTAGTGTCAGTGCATTCCCGACACCGGATAAAAAGTCTGTAAAAACTCTTTACCTATTTGGAAGAACCTGTCGCGAGAAAGAAACATGGTATCGTAGATTGAAAGCTGCTTCGTTAGGTGTGCCTTTAATATGGACACCGCAACTGGTAAGAAAACACCCTCTTCCACTTTGTTCTAAATCTTGAAGTTGTCTTGAATCTTGTCACTGTGACAAACCCATCTTATCATAGAATGCTTTATCTCCTCCTACGGATAATTTTTATCAATATCAAAGCTTTTTCGATAAATCTAGTTGCATCGTGCTCTTTATTGCTTTAAAAGTACAGTCAAAAAACAGATCACGTGAATTTCACTTACCTAAAAATATTTCTCATCAAAAATTAGTATTCATTGAAAATATTTCCAGAAAACCAGTTAGATCTTGATAACTTTTTCGTTTAAATTAATAAATTTTCTGCAGTATTTACCATTAAATTTCCTCAGGATTGCTTAAGTTAGAGTGACACTCAGTCAGCCTCTTGAAGTGTAATAGATGTAAAACACGTCCCTCATTTGTGATATATCATACCTTGATCTAACAGAGTATTTTGCGTGCACAAATCGGCCACATAGTAATTACCAGTTCAGGAGTTCAGCTTTAAGTATGGTTGGAGTACTAGAGTAACAAACACCCGTCAATACAATATTTTTCTGCTCATAACTATCTCTTAGTTCATCAAATGAGTAATTATGAGAAGTAGTATCAGTAGTAGTATCATCTGAAAAACCTGTGACGTAATAATATCAATCTTTGTGCTCATTAGCGTCATGACAACATAATTTCTGATATACATGTGTGTGTGTGCACTAAATAGCTCTGTCAGAAGACACTATCATTTAAAATTTAGGTACACATAAATGTTGTTCGAAGAATAATGGTTTAATCTAAGATTCATTTCGTTAGTTCGCTGATTTGACGTCAAGGTCGTTTTCTTTTAACCCCTATGCGATCAGTTTTGTCAATTACTGTCTAAGGGGGCTAATAAAATGAATAAATAAATTGTTTGACCCAAGTTGGGATCGATAAATGTATACAAATAATGTATTCAAGGTCACTGGCTTCAATGTCACAGCATACATAGATTTATCTGTCACATAAACATACATGTTCATGCTATAGACGACAATGATTCATTATTGTTGATAATTTTATTACCAATGTCCTTATTTGTCCTCCGTTAGCATTGTGACAATTTGGTTTAAGGCTTCTACATATGTTTGCAAAGTATTTTTCAGCCTATTAGTCCGTGTGCGTGTGTGCGTGCATTGTTTTCACTTCATATGTGTCAAAAATAGAACTCAATCTATCGTCCACTTTGACTGATGATTAGGTGATTGATATCAACACTTGTTCACCCTAGTTTCACACTATGAGAAATGCTGGTGAGTGATGAAATACTTGCGATAGAAGTATTCTTTCTAACTTACGATTAATCATCCCTTCTTACACCTTACATTATTATAATTATTTTATCCTTTATTTCCTAGAGGAACATAGGGCTTCAGCCGCGCGTCTCCATTGCATTCGGTTCTCTGCCAACTTTTTCACCCCGCTCCAAGTCTGCCCACACGCTTTCATCTCCTCTTCACATGACCTCCTCCAAATCACCCATGGACGACCAGCTCGCCGCCCGCTTCCCTTTCGGGTTCCACTCGAGCGATGGCTGGTCTAGTGATGTCACTTGTTGGTTTCCTCAGAGTATGGCCAGCCAATCCATCTCCATTTCTTCCTGCCTATTTGTTTCACAATCGGTTCCTGCTGGGTTGGCTCATTACCAGAGATCCCTCCCTCTCGCTGATCTTTTCTGGCCGGCCATCTGATCTTGAGTGGTATTGAGAGAAGACAACTGTTAATGAAGGTCTGAAGTTTGTTTGAGATGCTGTTTATGACACGCTGTCCAAGTCTCTGATCCGTATAGCGAGTAGCACTGACTGACTTCACATTGGAGTTGAAAATCCGGATCTTATTTTTGATGGTGAGTGATGTTGACCTCCACACAGACTTGGTGAGAGTAATGAAAGCTTGTCTTGCTTTTCCGATTCTCGCTTTGATATCCTCGTTAGTGTCGTCCGCCTGTAGTTGAAACGATGCTTCCCAGTCCGGTGGGTAGGTAGGTAGGTAAAGGAGGTTGTTTCTTTCAGGTTCCCCCATTTATGCTGGCTGATTGTTGTTGTTGTTGTGGCTGTTGGTGTTGGCCAGGAATCTTCATCACCTCTGTTTTATCTATGTTCACCTGAAGTCCTATTTTCTCGGGATGCTTCCTCTGCCAACTTGTTGTTGCTTTTCACTTGCATATCTTCCGGTTTGTGGGAAATCAGACATATATATGTCATCAAGGGCGAAGTCCAGATCCTCCAAGTCTCTTTTTGTGTGAGTCCATTTTATGCCTGTTTCCTCATTGGCCGTTGTCTGTCGCATTATCCAATCTACTGCGATCAGGAAGGTCATTGGCGATAATAGAAAGCCCTGCCTCACTCCTGTCCTCACTTCGAAGGCCTCGGTAAGTTTCCCGTTGTGGATTACTTGTCATGCAGAATTGTCGTATAACTGTTGGATGAGATGTATAATTGTCGATGACACCCCACCGTAGTAGCGAAGTAGTTTCCAAATGACCTCTCGATCGACGCTGCACTATCGAAGGCCTTTTCAAAGTCGATGAAGTTGAGTGAGGTGGAGAGGTGGCGATTTGATCAATACATGACTTATTTCTCCTGAATCCAGCTTGTTCCGGTCGTAGTTTTTCATCCAGCGTGGCTTGTTTGATTCTCTCCAGGATGATGTGGCTTAGTATTTTGCTTGGGATGGACAGGAGCATAATTCCGCACCTTACATTATGTAGTACAATTTTCAAGGACAAAGTTTACCATTATCTGATTAGTCTGAATATTTCTTGAATAATTATAATTACACTTGTACATATCATGAAAATGAATCGTCGAAAAGAATATTTTCTTCGCTGTTTATGCCTTTTTCTTATGATGTAATATGGGAATATTTCGTTCATAGAAGTATTCATCAAAAAACAAAAAATTATCGAAAGTATCATTAAAAGTGATCATTGAATTAGTAGCATTTAGCAACAACTATTTCAATGCCGATGGATGCATGGTAGAGTGAAATAAATGCACAGAAGCTATCCATAGCTTTAACGAAAGATGTTCAGAGTAAAAACAATTTACGTTAAGAGAGTAATATATTCAAAAAGAGACTTTACATTCGAAGTTTATTGTATTTTATTTTCAACAATTCAATCATTAGTTATCCTAATACATGTATGTTAGCATCGGTAAAATACTCGCCAACGACCCATGTAGTCCGGGCTTCGATCCCCAGTTAACACGCTCCTATGCCTCGCTTAGCTGATAGCTAGTCCGGTAAAGAAGGCAGATACGATGTGAGACTACTGACGTCACCCCGTAAAAAGAACAACACTCACCACTCCTACTGCAACCTCAAAGCTCTAAGCTCCACTTGAAATGCAAAAGGAATAAAATAAAATAAGTAAGCGTATGAAAGCATTAATTAGTAAGCAAAGGATATCATTTGCGCTAACCTCTTCTGGTTGTGTCGCCACCTGTCCTTGTTAGTTAAAGTATATTTTTTAATTCTTATTTCATCACCAACTGACATCAATTAGAGAACCCACTAACAACCATGAAACATTGATCCATTGTTTTTTTTCCTGGTTCGAACGCACCCACAAGAAACACTTGTGCGTCAGTGTTCCGATTATAAGATTCCTCCAGCCACACATACATGATCTGAGTTAGATTACCAGGCGATGCACTCTTAGACCCCGCACAGTTTACTAGCCAATAGTAAACCCTGAAAAAGAGGGATGGTTGGGTAGGAATTACAACAGCCAAAACGCGTGAATATTCAAAATCTCTGCTAAAGCTTCAAGGCTTAAATTCCTTTGTCCCGATCGTATCACGAAGAATTAAAACAACAATTGTTTGTTTTTTCCCTGACATCAAATTACTGCGATCAAAGAATGAGGAAATTGCAAAACAGAAAAGCGTATGTGAAAGGTAATTTGCGAGCAAGTCCGCATTGACGAAATCTCACTACGGATACAGAGGGCTAGTTTTGCATATGCTAGTTTACGCCGTCTCTGGCTTAGACGTGATATCCGTCTATCGACTAAAGGACGTGTGTACTGCTCATCGGTCCGCTCCGTTCTGCCTTATGGCTGTGAGACCTGGCCATGGAGAGTTGAAGACATGAAAAGACTAGCTGTCTTTGATGATAGGTGCTTGTGTTCTATCTCCCGTCGTATAATCTTGGGAGCAATATTGAGGTTAGGCGTCAAGTACTTGTAAGGAGGGGAAATCAATCGACGAGGCTGTGAAGCTACATTGACTGATGGTTAGGACATGTTTTACGCGTGCATGCCTAGCCATCGCTTCCTTCGACGGGCAATGCTAGCTAACATAGGGTCAGGTTGGAAAAGAGCCAGTGATGGTCAAACCAAAACATGGCTTCATCAGTCAATGAAATCCACAACAGTTAGTTTAAGCCAGTCACGTAAGAAGGTGTAGACTTCGTGGTTGGGGTCCTCGGGACGCTAAACACCAATGGCTGGAAACAATCGTTGATATGGCTCAAAATCGTTCTCAATGACTGGCACAGATGCATCCACTCCGTGTGACTTATAATAACCAATAAAATTATATTATTCTTTTTGCCTCATATCTCTGTTTCCTGTCTCTTTTGCATTTCTTTTACTTTTTTCTTTTGCTTTGTGTGCAACATGGAGTGGGGCGACTTGAACTGGTGCACATCGGTGCAAAGTTCTATGTCGAAAAGAGACAGACAGACCAAGTCAGCATGAGAATGCATTTAAAAACATGTGTGAATGTAATAGTATGTTTAAACGTAACACTAAGTTGTTCATCAAATGCTGTAAGGCATTTTATTCAAATTGAATAACCCTAATTTGAGTAAATTATATAGTGATTAATGCCTAAAATGATTTGTACTCGGTTTGATTGTAATGCAGTGCCAGTTATCTGAAAGAATATAGTGAACATACAGGGATATATTTTTCTTCTTGACTTAGGTAAAAAGCAATTTTGTTTGCATAAATGTAGGAGTCCAGAGGTGAATAACTCAGATAAATGAGACAGAGCAAAGAAGAGTTAAAAGTTCATAACTCCAAGGCATCACATAATTACGTATTCGGAAGTGTGTATACACAGTGCTGGTGAATCATTGTGCCTCCTAGTGTTTAAAGTTTCCAGTATTTTTGGTGACTTTCAGTGGGGGTTGAACTGGTACACAACACCATGCATTTATTCCCCTTGATGAATTTGAATAAAGCAAGAACAACAGTGGTTTGTGCAGAATAATATGATACCATCATTTATTTCGTTGGCTTCTCATCAGCTGCACACAACCTAAATAAATCATGAGGTTTACGTACGGAAAATTTTTAACATACTTGCAAATTTTACATGTCAGTTGACAGAAAGTTCCACAATTAGTGAACAGTGCTCAGAAAATTACTCTTATGTAGTTTTTATACAAGCAGTTCAAGTTTAAACAAAATAAATGTATGCATACAATGGTAAAGGAGTTACGTAATAAAGACGAATTATGCATTAGATGCAGAGTGACTAATAAATTAGGTAACAATGTACTGAGTTCAACTCAAATCATAGACACAATAGACAAGGAAAATTATTATAAAGGGAGTGAGGTTAAAGACAAACGTTACGCAATCGGATGAGAGGGAGAATAAAGACATCTATTTACCACGGCAAGGGAAGACTAATAACTGCTTCTTTCTGAACACATAAATCTGGTTTCAAGCGTTTGATAGAAATTGTTCGTCAAACTTGAGGAGATTGGAGCTCCTTTGTCTATTGATAATTTTAAAGGATTTCTCGATCTCCAACTCATGACCCGTGTCGAGAAGATGTCTGGTAATAGCGCTAGTATAAGAGTTTGTTCCCTTGAGACGTAGGCTTTTCGGCACATGTTCAGAAAATCGACGGTGTGCGTACTATTGTACACAACAGACAGTTAAAAACAATCTGTTACCCGCTTTGTAGTGTGTTTGGATCAATCTAGTTAATATCGAACCTACACTGCTCTTTACTATACTCTTATTTAGCCACACTATTAATTGCCCCCTAGCAGGAAAGATTAAAAGTCTTGAGTTTCAGTTATATAAATTTTTATTAAAATATAGTTTGAGTGACGTATTTAAAATCTCTCGTAGATAAAATACATTAAGGAAAAAACTATAATATGATATAATGCCAGTATTCGTAAGCATCCCGCTGATCGAAACGATGAGTTACATGTCTTAGTGAGAAGTCACTATGTAACAACAGAATACAAGGGTCAGGCCACAGATCGTTTATTAAGGAAATCAATACATATTTATAGTTTTTCATGTACATATTATAGATTATTGTTAGCAGAAAAACACAGTCTTCTGATTGGTTGTTTCTCACAGAAAGTTAACATTGCATCTCTTTGTGAGTGTTTCTTGAATGTCAGACCATCTCTATGTTAACTATATCCGCCTACGCAAAGCCTTTGTTCTCATTTTTCTCACGACCGATATTGGGGACGTAAATTAGGGTCCACCAATTTTGACTAACAGCCGGCTCTCACCACAACTAGATATTGATATTCCAGTAGAAGTCCTCGAACAATGCGACAATGGTTTTAAAGCAGAGCACTTCTGTATACATTATTTATTATCTTTCTAGGGTTGTTTGAAGCAGTACACTATTACACTGATCATGTAACCCCTCACTGATAGTCAGAAACATGGTTTATGTGCACATCAATAATAATAATATTCTATTTTCGTGTTTTCGCTTTCTTTTTTTCTTCTTCTTTATGCAGGCAGTACAAAATTACCTGTTGGCTTCAGATAATAATAATACTAACATTAGCCTTCCGGATTGTTTAAATACTGTTACTGCTTCGACGACTGCATCTGGTGTTGCTATCAATAATGAAGTTTTAAGTGATGATGAAAGTCGTCTTGATGCGAACACGACATCGAATCCAGTAACAACTAGCTGGGATTCAACAACCAATACTTCTGCTACTGCTACTACTGCTACTACTTCTAGCTTGAGTAATACAAATAGTGTCGGTAGTTCATCTAGTGTAAATTTATCAAGTTATGGTGCTGCAATGCCTGGTAGTCGTGAACCAGTTTATGTTTCATATATTCGATACATGGCTAAATTTATGCCAGCTGGTTGGCTTGTACGCAGTGCTCAAGCATTGAAATTGAATGTGAATCAAATTAACTGTGATACAAATATGATATGGTTGAATGCTTTAATTGGTCGTTTATTGTGGGATTTTTTACGTGAAGCTTATTGGCTAGAACGAATTAGGAATAAAATTCAAGCAAAGCTGAAAAAGATACATGTAAGCATGATTATTATTATTATTATTTACATTGATTGCCTATTGTCATTGTTGGAATTGTGTGTTTTCTGTTCATGATTCACCTTCACATAACTTATCACAGAGTAACATCAGACATGGTTTATTTCATCTGTTTATTCTCTTGATTTTTCAAAGATATTTTCTCACTAACCATTTTTCGGTGAATTTCCACAGGAGTAGTAATGCATGTCTATCTTTGTTTTACCTCTGGAAATAGTGTACTCGTTTTCCAGAACCTGAACGATTTTGTAGAGATCATTATACTATCTGTCATCGTCTAAAAGTAATGTCAAATTGCAGTGCGATGATGTCTACATTCCAACTACTTATATTCTCCTTTCTCATCTCCAGAAGAAGTTGAATTGTTTTCTCGTCCACAAAAATCCGCATGGTTCTACTTTGCTTCTTTTGCTTCTTTTTTCGCCAATAAAATGTCTAGTAGCTTTTTGCTTGAATACACCGAGCTGAGCTCGATAAGGTTCTGTCCATTACGAAACAAACTCAACTGCACTGAAAAGAATAGTGTTTTCTCCTCCAATCCTTTTAAACGATGATATCTTCACTTCCCAAGTTTTACTTTACAGAGATTTGATTGATTCCAGGTTAGATTATGAACGGACACTAACTACTGGTTGGTAGCTGTGTCGTCCCAGGGGTGTAGGACTTTCTCTTCTTTCCACAGTGTATAGTCATGAGTGCGTACTATTATGGAGTTCCAATTCAAAACGAAACAGTTGTGCAATACGCCCTGGTTTTCAATGGTTCTCTAACTAACCTCATTCTGTGATCTAACGTCACGTATTCACTGTTGGTATTACCATTTAGCTGGGCTGGTACTCGAGGATCAATCCTTGTCTACTTTTATCAGTATAATTTCCAGCTACAGATAGAGCCAAAGGTAAATGCATTCGTTAGTTTTCATTAGATGCCAGACTGCTGTCGGTAGTGTTCAGTTTCCACTTCTCTTCTCTTACAGTCAGTAGATAATAAGAAATTGCATAGGTATTAGTCAATACATAATAGTTCTATACATTTTATCCTTCACAACTTATTCAAGCTTATCACAGTTCTTAGTTGTTAGAATTCTCCAAAGAAAAGTTCCATTTTAATGAGATGTAATGGTATATGTGTGTGCCTCAGTGGCACAGCGGTTAGTACGCTCGCCGACCATGCACATGGTCTGGGGTTCGATCCCCAGCCGACCTACTCCTTTACCTCGCTAAGCCAAAAATAATTCTGCTAAAGAGGAAAGGTTAGGCATGAGGCTAGCAATCCCATCCTGTTAAATTAAACACTGCTATAGAAACTTCAGACCACTAGGTTGAAGCCCTATGTTCGACTGGGGAACGTGAAGGAAAGAAAAAAAATGGTATATGTACATCTGTGAAGCTTTTAGATACTGTGGTCGAACTCGTGAATATACAAAAGATCACTTGTACAAATCCACCGAACTCATCATCTAAGATGCAATGAGTAATTCCCTCGATTATTTACTACGAAGGCTTGTTTTACAACTTCACACACAGTGAAGTAATCAAGTGCTCCTCGATCTAGTTTATCATGCATTTTTAGAACGTTGACTATTCTTTAGTGAGTAGAAATAATGTAGCAGCGGAAGATAAAGGGAAGATGCTTGCCCGTCGTTACAAAGAAGGTTGGGTGGTACTGACTTGATTGTACGGTGGACACAATTTTTCTGGAGGGTTGCTATATCAGAGTGGATTTATAGCCTATTAACTTATTTAAAAATAGCGGTAAAAATTGAATTGATTTTGACTTAAAAATTCACCCCCAAGTATTCGAAAAACATCCGTTTTGGATTAAACGTGTCATTTATGGGGAGTGACTGACTTTTGTCTGATAATTTTTCACCCATTCTTTTAGGAAATCATTTTTGCAGCTGAAACTTAATGTGACAAATTGCGCCATATATTTTTGAAGATTTATCTTCGTTTCCTCTTTGTTGTTCTGGCTGTAAGCACTTTTAGTAGTCCTGATTATCATTGTGAAGTACCCAAATGCAAACTATGAAAGTAACCAGTGTAACTCTAGCATCAGACGATAGTTCGTTCCTATAACTGAGCTTTCTGCTAAAAGAAATACGTGATTACATTTTTCATACAACTATTGGGTTACTAAAATGAAATACTTTAGAGGGCTAGGACTTATTGCAGCACTCTCACCCTGAGGAAAATCGAAGAAAGATATCTCATGGACGTCTTCCAAGAGGAAGGATATCCACGGAATTTCATCAAAAGAAATCAACCCCAAGCCAACCTAGCAAATCAAAGGCCCTCAGGGAAAATAACCCCATCACATATAAAAGACCTCTCATAAATTACTGCAACACTCTTCGAACCTTTAGGAACTGGTGTCGCACACAAACCAACAAGATCACTTCACTCAGCTTTGTATCCACCAAAAGACTCAACAGCAAAAAAGATAAAGCCAACATCACCTACAAAATAAATTGTAACAATTGTGAAAAACACTACATTGGCCAAAGTGACGTCTCTTTCGTCTTCGTATCCATGAGCATAAACTAGCCGCCAAAAGACATGACATCCACTTCCTCGTATCGCTGCATACGGACAATTACGGACATCATTTCGACTGGGACAACGTTCAAATATTAGACAGAAGAAACACCAAAAATGTTAGAGAATTTGTAGGAACCTGGTATTCTGGTGAATCGTCAATCAACAGGCACATCGACATAGATGAAATTTACCAATTGGTAAAAAAGAAATCTCACAGACAAAGGGTCAAACTTCAGTTCAAAGAAACAATTAGTACCGATATAAGTCGCCTAGAGGATACGAAAACATGCAGAAACAACTAATCACGTTCAAAGTCACCAGGAATGTTGACCAGTAAACTCGTGGAGAAATCTAAAAGCCGACTTCAAATTGAAGTATGCGCTGAACATGTTTCCTAGTAGGACAATGAAATATTCACAAGTAAACCATCCAGCGGAGGGAACGCAACTAAATCAAAGTCAAGGGATGATTTCCAACAGATCCTAGTAATAATAGTATGAGGTACCGTGGCCCCCATAACCATATTAATTATTTACATACAAATACTTGCTTCGAAAATCTATAATATCAGAAAACCGACGTAGTTCGATCATACACCGGGAAAGGAGAACACTTTAAATTCGAGTTAATGGAACTTTTGCATCAATATAGTAGCAGCAAAAATGAATAAATAAATGATCAGTTAGAGAACCATTGAAAACCAGGGAGTACTGGACAGCTGCTGTTTCATCCTAGTTTGAGAATCATCGGGAGTACGCACCCACCGCCAGGGTTCGAACCCAGGACCTTCCGGTTACAAGACAAGCTCGCATACCATTCAGCCACTGTGGGACCAGATTCAATGGCCCATGAATTCTAACTTCTACCAATTCGTGATTTAGCGCGACCCCAACCATGAGCCATTGAATCAGGTCCCAGTGGCTTAATCGTAAACAAGCTTACATTGTAACCGGAAGGTTATGGATTCGAACCCCATTGGGTGCGTCCTCCCAAGCTAGAATGAAACAGCTATCCAGTACTCCCTGGTTTCCAATGGTTCTCTTACTGATATCAATCCGCAATCGACTCGTAAAAACAAAACTAATCCATACAAACAAAACTATAGAAAATAAATAATCAACAAGGTGTATTTTGAAACTCCTAACAGATGAATGAAACGTCTGGAATGTATCACTTCGACTGAACACTTTAGGACGCACCTGCAGACTATGCACTAAATCTTCACATCGCTGAGACTCAAATAATATTTATCCCGAAACCAATTATTGAAGTATTGTATTGCATTTAATGATTCCTTGTTACATAACACCTTTACGTAGTTGATATGCTGAGACTTACTATCCATTTGGTGTCGATGAATCAGTGCAGCGCGTAAAGAGTCGGTTAGCTGAATGAATATTTGTTTGTTCAATAATATTTTTTCCTTCACGTTCCCCAGTCGAACATAGGGCTTCAACCTAGTGGCTTGAAGTTTCTGTAGCAGTGTTTAATTTAACAGGATGGGGTTGCTAGCCTCATGCCTAACCTTTCCTCTTTAGCAGGATTATTTTTGGCTTAGCGAGGTAAAGGAGTAGGTCGGCTGGGGATCGAACCCCGGACCATGTGCATGGTCGGCGAGCGTACTAACCGCCATACCACCGACGCTCTTGTTCAATAATATGTGCTGTAGTTCTAATGTTAATCTTTAATCACTATCTTTTTTTATCCTATTCATAAATTTATTTACAATGGTTTTTTTGGCAGTACCTTCAGTCTGTCTAGGTTTTATACAGCAATTTCTTTGTATGAATTTGTAAGTAATCATTCACTGATGTCGTTTGCGTTTTAGTTTCCGAGAGCAAAACTAAACCTTTTACACATATAGCACAAAGCGATTTATTCAAGTGGGCACGTTTTTGATGTGGTTGTGTTCTCTGAGCTTGGATGCTTTAACTGCACAGCTTCAATTGTCCTTCGGTATTGTTTACTGGGCAAGGTTTTGAACACAACTCTTTGTAATGTATTATCTAATCGAGTATGATTGATTGTGAACAAGGAATACTAATAGTGTTTCACTATTATGCTATTTTTTTAATGTAAGGTTCAAATTTTCCGAACAAATTACATAACACACGTTTGTCTGAGTACGTAAACACAATTCCATTATAATGGATAAAAAAAACACGTAATTCAACGAATTCATTCACTCAGTTATGCAGTCGTAGTCATATATAATTACTTTTGTATGTGTGTGTACATTAGGTTTGTCCGGTAAGAATACAAATTATTCAAATGAACTGTCATAAAAATTTGACCGAATAGTTTTAAAATATTTGGGCGCTGAGTGAGAAGTAGACATTTGTAAAAAACTATATTTATATTATATATTTTTACGAATGTCTCTGCTTCTCACTTGGCGCCCAAATATTTTAGAACTATTCGGTCAAATTTTGACGATAG